TAGAAAAACACACGCTAATAGTAAACTTCCATGAAAATATTTGCTTCAGAATTTTTAAGGAAGGCTATGACTTGCCCAGAAGCATAACTTTTAACAGCATCTTTCAAACCTGCCAAATAACATTGCCTATTTAGCCAATTCAGTGCACATAATATTAATTTACTGTGCCACAAAGGTGACATGCCTTAACTGTTATTAGGGGAAAGTATAATGTATCTGATGTCTCTTTATGAGTCTCATATTGCTTATAATTCAGTAGGGCTACCACGTTTTCTGGGCAGGCTATCAAGTAGGATGTTGTAATGATTTGCTTGACTAGTAGAGTAGATGAAAAAATATCAGTTCTGTCTGTAGCTGTTCTATTTTTGAATTTCAGATTTGCACAGTTTGAAACCATTTATTCCTCTGTGGTTCTCTTTAAAAAATAAAAAACTATTCTTTTATATTTTAAAGAGTTAAACATGTCACACAAAATCAGTTAAGCTAATGGTTAGAACAGAGTGTCTTTCAGAGAACAAAAGGGAAGTCTTAGATTTAATTTGAAAATGCCAAGAAAAGGATCTGTAACACAATGCAAATTTATTTGGTTTGATAAAATGAAAACAGGTCTTCCTTGTAACTGACATCTTGGGGATGCTTGAATGCCTCAGTTCTCTGTCTGTACTGCTGTTCCTTTGCATCTTTACGCAGATATTGAGATGCTTTCTGACTCATAAAATGTTACTTTAAAAAATTGTCTATGGAATAATCCATTCTACTTAGAGGATAGGTACAAGCTGAGAATATTTCAGTAGACTTACTTCCTATTTTGACATTATCATAAATTCCTTGAATGAGTGGGCTAGTTCTCCTTGTATACACTAAATTCTTCAAACGTTGTCTTCTACACACCACTGAAAAGGAATCCCCTCCTTGTGGCAGGCTTATTTTACTATGTAATTCAGTTTCTTTTTTCAACAGATATTTATTGAGCAACTACTAGATGTCAGGCATATTCTAGGTATTCAGTGTGTGCTGGTGGACAGTATGGACAAAGATCTCTGCCCTGGTGAAGCTTGTATTCTACTGAGAGAGATGAGAAACATTAAACATAAAAAATAAGTAAATAATGTAGTATGTTAGAAGTTGATAAGTACTATGGAAAAAGGAATAAACAGAGCAACATGAAGTTTTATCAGTGCTGGGGAAAGGAGGAGCAGGCCTGTGTGTTAGAGCAGTCAGATTATTTGCTGACCATGTGAGGGAAGTTGGTCAATTAGAATCTGGGGGAGGAGCATTCCAGGCAGAGGGAAAGGCTAGCACAAAGGCCAAAAGCTGAGACAGTCCTGGCATGTTTGGGAAACACCCCAGGCCATTGTGGCCAGAGTAGAATCAGTGAGGGGGACAACAATAAAAGAATTGGTGAGAGAAGATATGTAGGCCCCAATTATGTATGGCTTTTCTCTGAGTGAGATGGGGAGTCATTGCTGACCAGAGGAATGTCATGGAATGACTTACATTTTAAAAAGGATCACTCAGGCTGTTGGGTGAGAACAGATGGAAAGGGTCAAAGATGGATGAAGGGAGACCTGTTAATGAGGTGCTGCAGTTAATCAGCTGAGAAATGATGATCATGACAACCAGAAAGGGGGCAAGGGCACAGGCAGTAGAGGAAGTGAGAGATGGTAGAAGTCTGCTTATATTTTGAAGTAGAGCCAGTGGATTGGAAGAGGGTTTTTAGAGAAAGTAGAGTCCAGGGTAATTCTAAGGTCGAACAGATTGGCTTTTGTTTCGTATTTTGGTTTTTTGAGCAGAGGTGTAGGGGAAGATGGCTAGGAGTCCAGTTTTAAACATGTGAATTTGGAGATAGGTATTAGATATCGAAGTGGAGATGTCAGACAGGGCAATCAGATATTTAAGTCTAGACTTTGCAAGAGAAGTCTGGACTGGAAATGTAAGTTGGCAAGTTGGCAGCTTATAGATTGTAATTAAAACCATGGGTTGGAATGAGATCACCAAGGGAGTGAGTGTAGATAGAGAACTTCCTGAATGTATTTCATGTATTTAATGTTATTTACTCAATGGGCCTATAAACCGAAATACTCCCTCTTCTTAAAGAGCTCATGGTATGTATTTGACTACACACTTTCACAAGTGCAGGAGATGCCATTCACATAGAATACAATGTCCGGAGATGACTATTGCAATGGTTAGCATGGGAGTTGGGGGAGCAGTGTGGAGAGACAGGTATATATTTCTGTATGTTACTAGCCATAGTACGGTGTCATAACTGCTATTCTTGATATATGTAATGGAATTGTCATATAATATTGGTAATGTAAAATGTAATATAACTGGTATATGTCATGGAATTTTAGAGAAAGGAAATGTGGATTGACTCAGTGATAAAGAGGTGGGGTGAATTTAGATGACTCTGATCTCAAATGATGTATCTTAGAGCAGATGAATGTATAGTAACATTGTGTATAGTTAAAATCAAACTTAAAACCTCAACTGAAGGATCACTCAACATTGTCCTTTAATAATGTTCAAGGCTACTTTTGGGCACCTAGTTTGCCTTCTGCATTTCCCCATCCTATTGCTGAAAAGCTTACTGAAGCCATTGCAGCACTGCTCATGGGTGAAGGCAGAGGTGGACAGGAAGGAGGCACAGGAACGACAATAGCTTTCCAGATTTCTGTACTTGAGGATTCTGTTGGGAGTTAGCAGACGTGCTGTGTCCTATAGTCAGTCGGACACCCTCCATTGTCTCTTTTCTGTGGCTCAGGTTGTAAAGGGGTGGGTAAAAAGGTGGGTTTTCTGCTTTATGTTGTAAGCATTCTGTATCCCCAAAATGAAAAAAAAAAAGTATCATCCCATCGTTTCTGGGAAGTCATGCCTTTAATGTGATTTTCTACTCTCAGCTCTAAGGAAAAAGGATGCTATTTAGTCATCCACCAGTGGTTTTTGACAAAGTAGGTGAAAGTTGTAGACAATGCTTCCCAGTGAAATAGACAGATAGATTTTAAAATTTTTGAATGATCTTTACAGAAATCACAGAAGTCAACCTTGTGACCTAGCATGAATAATCTCAAATATAAAGCATACCCAGGCCACAGATGAATTAAAATTTTACCTAAAACTTAAAAATGTTTGTGTTTTCTGTTGTTCATTTTATGAGAACCATGACGTAGTTCCTTGATGACTGCTGACAATTTGGGATTAAAAAGAAATAGTTACGAAAGACTAGAATAGATGTAGAACATAAATAGCAACTTTCACACTATAAATAGCAACACTGAATCACTGGGCCTGAAACTTAGTTTCATGCATGTTGCTGTTCCCTGCTCATTGTTTTCCCTTTACCTGTGAGGTTGTTCTCAATGTGTCACTCCTGTGTCCACCTTTGAAATCCTGCATCCTATCAGGCACCCTTGACGTTGCATCAGGCTGTGTCCCGGCATCTAGCATAATACCCTGTGTGCACACAGCTCTCAAGAATCATTTGTCAGTCTGTTAGGTGCTGAATCATCTCACATTTACATAGCAGCTGAACATCTGGATATGTGATCAACAATATTGCAGTACTACATTCAAGTCCTTCCTATGCTTTACTGTATATCATTTTAACCAATATTTCTCTGTCCTTACTTATTTGTTCAAACTAATGAAATAAATGCAGAAGAAATATCTGCCAGTTCAGTTTATCTAGAAAATTAACTGGCATAGCGGCATGTGCAGTAACCCTAATCAGCATTAATTTATTTATTCAACAAATTTTTGTTGAGCTTACTGAATGCCAGGTATTGTACAAAATGATTCGTAAGTGAAGGTGAATAAGGCAGGTAGAGTCTGTCTTCTTGGAGCTTTTAGGAAATCAAAACAGTTGCAGAACCAGTAATAACACAAGTGCAGGGTGCTGTGGGAGCATCGAAGGGTACTTGTATCTGTTAGAATTAGGTTCCGGTACAAGTGGCAGGAAATCCAAATAGCAGCAGTTTAAAGGAAACAGAAAATTTTCTTCAACATGAATGTCTGGAGTTAGACAGCCCAGAACTCCATGATGTCAGGGACACTTCTATCTTGTTGCTATGCTGTGTGTGATCTCCATGCCCCAAATCACCCCACTGTGCAAGGTGGCTTCTCCTGCACTAGGTCCACATTCCACCAGGAGGAAGTAGGAAAAGGGAGGAGAGGAGCAGGCTCTGGAACTTTAAGGACTTCCTAGAAATTGCTCAAAACATTCACTTACATCCTTTTGGCCAGAACTTGGCCACATGGTGATCTAACATCAAGGGAGGCTGGGAAGTGCAATATTTATTCAGGACAAACAGGAAAAAAGGGGGATGGATACAAGGGGACAATTAACAGTCTCTGCCCCAGAATTTCTGGGAAAATAGTTGCCCAAATTGAGACCTGAAGGTAAGTAGGTTTCTCAGAAGAAGTGCATGTGTGTGTGTCCTTGCAGGAGGACAACATTCCAGAAAGAAGGAAAAGCCCAGAGAATTGAACACTGAGAAGAAACTGTTCTTTCACCCATCACAATGTGTCCTTGCACGGTAGTGTCTGTTCTCTTCTAGATGGGCACTGACTCTTTCTTAGACGTGCTTGGGACTCTGGTACCTCCATGCTGTGACGAGAGAGATGGTGCATTTACCAAAGGGGAGAGGGCTGAGGCATCAGTGCTCATGTGTTTGAGTGTTAGTCAGTGTGATTGGGAGCAGTGGGAGGATTAATGGACAATAAGTAGACTGCTGGGAGAACACATTAATAGACATTAACATCACTCCTCTGCTTGAAATTCCTGCTTGTGCCAGAGCTCTTATAAAGAAGTAGCCACTCACGTATCTTGCTCCCATTGAAAAGACTTTCGTCTTTTGCTGTTAGCCTCTATTACCTGTCATATCCAAAGTCCCAACTTTTTTATTTGAATCTTTATAGCTGAGAAATCAATAGGGTCAAGTAAGTAAGAACCAGTATTTATGTAAGTGTTCATTGGGCTTTTCTTTATCATCTTTTAGGTCTTGTGGAAATTTGCCTGATGCATCCTCTCGATGTTGTGAAAACCAGGTAAGGTTCTGCATGAACAAGTTTTATTGACTTTGGCTGATATCCAAATTAAGATCTGTCAGAACACTAAATGCTAGAACTTGTCCTAGGCCAGTAACTTCTCCCAATAATGGAATTTATATTTACTTCTTAAAGAAAATACTATCTGACAGATAAAATGTGAACAGTGAAAAGCATTTCTAGATAGAGGTCATTCGAAAGTATATTTTACTGCCTTCACATGACAACCACAAGGTATGATTTGTGACTAAACTGGTAAGTGAGGGGAATTTATCAAAATGAGGTAAAAAACTAAACTTTAGTGAATTATGACAGCAGATTTCATTTGGCATTGCATAGAACAGATGACTATTTAATAGTCAGCATTTTGGTGTGGGACTACAAAATTTCAAGTGAACTTCTTAAATGGTGCTTAAAGAATTTATTCCTACAACTGTTTGTCAATACAAAATGCCGTATTTCCTGGAAAATGCATTTGCCTTTAAAGGGAGATACAAATCAAGGCAATATATTAAATTTGTTTACCAAAAGAAAAAAAATTGTGGGTTTTGATGTGATTTAGAGCATTTTTAAAATTTAAATATGTGGCTGAATTACTGAACTCTCTATTTTTCAAATTAGAAGCTCTGAAAGTTTCCGTTTCTTTGCATTGTGTAAAACCTAACAGTGCCATACCTAGGTTGGAGCTTAACAGCAAACAGTGCCATGAAAGAGTGGTGGTCAAACAAAGCCTTACTGCCACAATTAGGAAATACTTGATGAGTCAGGCTGACCATTGTTTGGACATGTTTCTTAATTTACCTAAAGAGGCAACGGAATCTTAGGCTGGTTGCTGAAAGCAAAGGAAGGTGACTGTGACATGTAAATAACATTTCATTTCTGATAGAGATAGAGAAAAGGAGAATTTGACCTTTTTCTTAGTTCAGTTTGGGCAGCTATGACAAAATTCCATAGACTGGGTGGCTTAAGCAACAGACATTTATTACTGTTCTGGAGGCTGGGGAGTCGAAGGTCAGGGTGCCGGTCAGTTCGGTTCTTGGTGAGGACCCATTTCCTGACCTAGAGACAGTCACCTTCTTGCTGTATCCTCATGTGGTAGTGGAGGGAGGGAGCCCTGCTGTCTCTCCCTCTTCTTACAGAGAATCAGTCCCATAATGGGGGTTCCACCCTCATGACCTCATCTAAACCCAGATACCCACCCCCAACAAAAGCCTAACCTCCAAATACCATCACCTTAGGGGTTAGGGCTTCAATATATGAATTTTAGGGGACACAGATATTCAGCCCATAGCAACCTCAAGTCACCAAACCTAAACAAAGAAAGAAGGAAATCAAAAATTATCTTCAAATGTAAGGTGTGTGTACTCCCTGGACCATCTTTTACATAGGGTTCAGAAACAGAAAGCAAAACTCACTGGCATTTCCTTCTTCAGTCCCGTGTTAACCTTCTTTGAAAAGTCAGATTATTGTTGTTAATCTCACCAAGGAATAAATTGTCTTTTTCATTTAATGATTATTTCCTAAATTAGCACAGTGTTCAAATGAGCATGAAGGAGAAATAAGAATGATTTAAACAAGACAAAAATTGACATTATGGTTACTCGTTCATTCATTCAATCCTTCATTCATCCATTTAGCAGCGTGTATTGAGTATCTAGTGTGTGTGGGTTCCAGACTAGCACTGCCCTCAAAGAGCTCAAAACCTCGTAAATTAATTGGAATCTCATCACAATGAATTTCAAACACTGTATCATTTCATGGTACTGGATTTGAATAGAATACTTCTTGAAATGGATGTGCCAAGATATTGGGGCTGTATGTCTTCTTTGTTAAATAGATATTTTAATGAAAATAGCTTTCATTGATTGGCATTAGTCACGTGCTTTACCTAACTTCAGGGACCTTGAAGGAGAAGGGAACTAGATGCTGGATCATTATAGCAATAAAAAGTATACTGAATAAAGACCCACAATCATAGAGTGAACTGAAAGCCCAAAAAATGTACAACTGACTTTTCGTCAGAAGTAGAATATACAATATTGGTAGCATTTATCACCAGGCACTAACACACAGGTGATAGGGAGTGGGCAGGACAGAATAAATTATTGCCCAAATCTTCTCTATTATATTGTACAAGAGATGACTAGGTTTCTAAATAAGATAAACTGTAAACTGTGAAGGATGATACATGAAACCTTGTAGCATTGGTGTTCTCTCAATCCAAGGGCACTGGATTCTAAGTTGTTGCAGGCACTGTCAAAGTCAGGCATGGCATACACCAGGCCAAACCTCACTTGCTTCACTGTGTGTGTGTGTGTGTGTGTGTGTGTGTGCATGGTCTGTTTTTGCCTTTCCTTGGATATTAATCCTTGAAGGGTGGTACAGTGAATTAATCTGAGTATGGAAATGACTCATTTTCCACAATATCTCCTGGGCTGGAGCGTGGCAAAGTCAATGCGTGTATTTACTTCTTGAAGTCTAGTCTTTTCTTCTTGGGTTCTGTTTGTGCCTAATCTTTTTCTTCGTTGAATGAAAGATAACAGATTCTAAAAAATATATTTCCAAATTCTTTCTTCATGGGATTTTTTTTCATTATTTTTTTCACTCTGTAAATGATCAATTCTGTTACCCCCAGCTGAAAGGACAAGAAGGTGGTGATGTTACCAAAGCCCAGGGGCCAGGGCTACCTGGAGAAAGCTAGGACCATAGCAGATCTGTCTAGTGGTAGCTGGTCTCAGAGGAGCCCAGCCACTGCCAGATTCCCTGCCTGAGGCAGATAGGGAAGGGGGAGATCCTGTGTGCTCTCTTCTCCCTACTGTCTAGTCTCCCACCAGCGCTCCTATATGCTGAACCCATGGGAGCCTGGGAAGTCTGGTCTGGCAGAGGGCGGTCCCTCCACATGACAGAGCAGAACAGTACAAGGGAAGAGTGAGACATGATTCTGAAGACAAAGAGAAACAGGACTGATGCACTGCCATTTTAGTGGGATTTGGAGTAAGAGCTAACATAAATATGCATTTTTTTTAAACTGAGATATAATTGACCTATAACTTTATATTAGTTTCAAGTATACAACATAATGATTTGATGTTTGTATATATTGCAAAACGATCACCACAATCAGTCTAGTTAACATCCAGTGCTGCACATAGTTAACAGTTTTTTTTTCTTGCAATGAAACCTTTAAGATCTACTGTCTCAGCATCTTTCAAATATACAATGCAGCATTATTAACTGTACATTACATCCCTAGGACTTACTTATTTTATAACTTATATTTGTACATTTTGACCATCTTTATTCATTTTCCTCATTCCCCACTTCCAGGACCTGGCAACCACCAATTCATACTCTGTATAAGTTTGATTTTTTTGAATTTGTTTTTAGATTCCACATATAAGTGAGATCATATGGTATTGGTCTTTCTCCGTCTGATTTATTTCACTTAGCTTAATGCCCTCAAGGTCCATCCATGTTGTTGCAAATGTCAGGATTTCCTTCTTTTTTAATCACTGAATAATACTCCATTGTATGCGTATAATGTATCACATTTTCTCTATCCATCCATCCATTGATGGACATGTAGGTTACAGGCACGTACTCTCAATTCAGCATGCTTAACAGGAATTCACTTTGTAGTTTAAAAGATGATTATAATTGATAGATATTTTACGGAGAGATTTTAGACACTGTGGCACATGGCTATATATATATATATATAGGAAATAGCTTATTCTCCTCCATGTAAGGGTAGCTCCAGGGATAGACCAAATGTGAACATAGGCTAACCACACAGCAACTGCCTTGTTCTAAGTGACCCCACCAGATTTTAGCAAAAGAGATTTGGCTAAGATGCTGTAAACATGGCAGTTAGGTAGAATCAAGAGCTCCTTTAGCATTCTCCACAGAGACATGCACATACACTGTTTTATAGTTCTGTTTATATACAAAGAACTTTGTGTACAATTGTGATTGGATCCCCAGTTAAGAACTCATAACTGCAAATGACAAAAGACTTTATATTTGCTTATATAACTAGGAAGACCAAAGGTAGTTTAGTTTCTAGCTTCATATCCTCCAGAGATTCAAATAAAATAATCAGTAATATCTCATACCTCTCTCATATTGTCTATTCATCTCTCCCTCTCTCTCTGTCTCTCCCTTCCTCCCTCTCTCCCTTCAGCTTTCCTTTCTCTACATAGGCTTCTATTTAGTGTGGCTTCTCCCATTTGGCACCAGATGGCAAGCTTACATGATCTTTGGTGTTTGTTTGTACTCTCTCTGAGACAGGATTACCTAGTATGTGAGAACTCTGGCTCTAAAGTTAGGCTGCGTGGATTCAAGTTCTGCTTCTTCGTTTATTATCTGTATAACATCAGTTAAGTTACTTCACTTCCTTGTGCCTCAGCTTTCTCATCTTTAAATGGGAACAATAATGGTACCTGCATTTCTGTAGGAAATAAATGACTCTCTCTCTCTCTCTCTCTCTCTATATATATATATATATATACACACATACATATATACATATATATGTGTGTGTGTGTGTTTAATACTATATCAGCAAAGAAAGTGGGAACTACAGAGACAAATGGAGTTTATAAGGTAGTCAGGGAAACACGAGGGAGAATACAAAGTGTGAGAGAGGGGAAATGTTTAATGTGGATTCAGGAGGTTTCAAGTTTCCAAGCCGGAAGGCTTGTGTTATGTGAGCACCGCATTGAAATCCTTCCTCAGAAGGGTGTTTGCAAGTAGAGTCCTCCTGGGTCTGAGGGCAGGAGAGCATCATTTTCGTCTCTGTGTCCCTGGTGACATCATTCCACACATCATTTTAGGGCTGTGCGCTGACATTTTTAGAGAACCCCCATGGGAAGCACAGTGCCTGGCCTCCAGGAGGTGCCCAGTGATTGCTGTTGAACCAATGAATAAATGAGTATTTGGAAACAATCAGAAATAATAGCTGCATGAGTTTTATGGCCAAATTGTAATGTCTGGCAAGT